TGCTAGTGTATATTTTAGACTGATTTTATTTTCCTCACTGTTTCCTGTGAAGACTTTTTCCTGCAGCAGTAACCATCTAATAAAAGTCCAAGAAGGAAATAAAGGTTTTATGAGTCATGCTCTCATACACCAGTGTGTGAAAAAGCTTCTGCAAGTGGCTTGCAGGGTTCAGACTTTAACTAAAATGCATCTTTCCATACTTGTGCAGGTAAAGAACAGGGTCCTGCACTGCTGGTGAGCCCTTGGACATGTGCACCTGCACACCAGGGGTGTCTCAGGCCTGCCTGCACTGCTAAGCTGCTGATTCAAATCCTTTATTGTTACACATGCAGAGTGTAGGGCAGCATGACCCAGCAGGATCAGGACTGTGGATTCCCAGTCCTTCCTGTGACCCTGCAGAGCTGTGTGTGTGTCCCTGTGGCACTGCCAGCCTGCAGCCTGGCACAGAGAGGGAAGCAGCAGCACTGCTGTTCAGCATGGCAAAAGAAAGCTGGTGAGGGCAGTGCTTGCATGGCCTCTCTTCCAGGGCTTTTGCTCATCCAAATTATTTCAGTCACTGCAGGTTAATTTACTTTTCAGCCTCAGCTAATAAGACTGCAGTTGGTCAGTATTGATTCTTACTTAAAAGTATTAATGCCCTAAGTCTTTTGAATTAAATGTTTTGAGCTGTAAGTAGCTGCTGTTGGTGAGAACCTACAGTTCAGCCAGTGATTAAATTCTGATTTTTTTTTTTTCCTGCTCAGCCATCTTTTCCAAAGCCATTTTTCATTTGTGTGTGTTTTTGGAGGCTGTTATTCCAGGTAGCTCATTTCCAGGTGGCCAGGGACTTGGCTGCCCCATCAACACTAAAGCTGTTAATTAATTGCCAGACTGTGCTGTTTGCTGGAGTTGGTACCTTCAGGGATGTGCCTTCCCCTGCAGGGCTCCTGTGCAGTGTCACCTCATTAGCTACAGCTCTAAACAGAGCTGTGGGACATTCAGAACTCTGACAGAGCAAAATACACGGCTTTTTAGAGGGTTTTGTTATTCTGGATCAATGGAAGATGTATTTGTGGGAGTGATCTGTCTTGTCCTTGCAAGCAGCACAACAGGATACACTGGGGTGAGGGTAGGCACAAGCTGGGGAAGCAGCTCTTGTTAAACCAACTGATGGAAAACACATTTAGTACATTTGGCTTCAGCCTCAAACAGCATTTCAGGTTTGTTTGTGTTCCTGATGTGCACAGAAGTGTTTGGGGGAAATAGGCTCTCCCTTGGTGGGCTTTGTTGGCTGTGGGAGCACCTGGGGTTAGAATTGAAAGTGAGCTTTGAACATTCTGCTAAAGAAGCTGCTGCTTCCTGTGCTGCTCCTGTCACCTGGTAATGCAGTCTCATGGAACAGCTCTCTGTTCTTTCTGAAGGTAATGAAAGGAGCAGATTTCCTGCTTCTCTAAAACCCCAACAAACAAGATTAAAATTTAACTTACAAATATTTAGGCATCACTTGGGTGGGTTTTGGGGGTGTGTGGGTGTGTTTGGAATGCATCAGTTTTTGGGTGAATTCACTATAATTGAACTTACTCCTAATCTGGTGAAATTGGAATCCTAATGACTGATTTTGGATATGCAGACAGTGTGTGAACCAAATGGTATCTAATTCTATGCAGCAATAAAGCACACCATGTTCTTTCTAAACCCTTGATTGGCTTGTTTTATCACATTGCCTAAAATGGTATTAGCAGTGGGCAGTTCCTACACTGTTTTTAGGGGAGACTTGAGGGGATTTCAGATTTTTCCTGTATCTGAAGATATGCATGTGTTTGGACTACAAACTGTGTGATGCTGCTGCCTGCTTCATTCTAGTTGTCCATTTTTGGTTGGCACAGTAACTCTAAGAACCATTTTTAAACAACTCTTTCAGAGTCCTTTAATAGCAATGTACTGAAGATGAAAGAGCACTGTGTGGGGGTGGCTGCATCCATCTGGAAAAAGGAAACTTGGTTGTAGATCCTGTGTTCTAAAATACTAGAATGTATTTACAGTAAGGCAAGGCTTAACTCTGCTACCACTTGTTTTCTGCAGCTCTGGGTAATTAGACATAATAGGCAGCAAGATGCTCTAGAAAGGAAAGTTACAAGCAGTTGGCATCTCAAAATAGCTCTCAGTTCTTAAGTAGAAGAAACTTCCTTGCTGCATGCAACTTGAAAAACTGGTGGGCAGAGGAAAGCTGGTCCTTGTCTTACAGACATGCAACTGAAAGAAGAAAATGAGGGGGAGAAAACAGACTCTGTGCTGTATTTTTGGTGCAATTACAGCATCAGAATTGTCATGACAATCCAAACTATTTTTCTCTTTGTAATCTTTCAACTGTGTACTTCATTTTAAGGTCATGCTGAGATGCATTACTGAATTGGCTGTTTTGTGTTCCCTTCTATGGCTGTGGTTTTATCTTCAGGAAGAGACTTGTAAAAACACCCTGGAGTTGTTCCAAATCTCCTTCCTTAAGGGTGCCTGGGACTGCACAGGCAGGAGCATCCCAGCAGTGCTGCTTCCACATGGCCATCACACCCTCAGCATGTGGGGCTTTAACCTCAGGCCATCGAGCTATTTTTGGTGCTGAGAAGTTACAAATGAATGACCCAATGCTTGGCATACTTCAGATCTGCATGAGGCAAGTTCTGCTTGGAAAGTTTCCTTCCTGAGAGTCAGCACCAAATAGAGATGAGTAGGATTTCTTTTGGAGATGGCCTCGTGGATGTCTGCCACACAGAATATTTCATATATGGGTTACTTCTGACAATCTTGCCATCATTTCATCAGCACTACTAGCAGCTGGAAAGAGGCTATTATCCAAGCCAATAACTTTTATGGCCTTATTAGAGTAGCATAAAATTAATTATCTTGATGCAATAGCCTAAAGTTGTTTTTGAACTCTGCAAGTGCACTTTCATATTCTAAAATCTGCCCTGGTGCAGTCATGGAGATGGATAAAATAACCAGATACTGGAGCCTGTAGTTTTGTCATTTGTCACCTGCAGTTCACCTAGTCCCCTTCTTAATTTCCTTGAGCCAAGCTGCTGTATGTGGAGTTGCTGACTAAATAATTGTAACAGGAATGTGACATACCCAGCCTCAATAAACAGCAGAGTAGTGATTCACCAGGTGCTGAGTAACAGCCACTGGATGTGAGAGACTTGGGGAGGAGGAAGCATCTCACTCAACAGGCTGCTCTTGTGTCATCCTTGGATCTGGGCTTCTGGAACACTCCTTGGGTGGAGGGGTGACTTGGAGCTCAGGGATGACTTGGGCTGTGGCCTCTTCCTTCCTGCTGTGCTGGCAGCCCCTGCTTTGGGTCCTGAGCAAGAACACCCCATTGGAACCCTGCAGTGTTTCAGCACAACAAGGACTGGAGTTCTGCATTCCAAGTGGGAATTTAACTTTGTGCTCTCTGATGTGTTCCCATAAATGGCCAGAGTAGGACAAAGGAAGTAACCTACTTGTGGAGCCTGAAGGAAGCAGTGCTGCTTTTCTGCTATCTTTAGATCTGAAACTTCCCAGTGCTTTGGGCAGAAATAACCCAAACAAGACTCTCAGACTCACCTCCTGCTCAAATCTCTAATTCAGAAGATTTCACCCTGCCATTTGTTTGCCTTGCAAAGCATTTTTACATTTTAGTTACACTGAAATTATAACTGGCCATTTTCAAGCCA